ACCACATGATTGTATCAATAGATGCAGAAAAAAGTATTTGATAAAATCCACCATTGATTCATGAATAGAACTCTAAACAAAGTGGGATAGAGGAAACATATATAAACATAATACAGGCCATATATGACAAATCCACTGCCAGCATCTTACCGAACAGGCAAAAACTACAAGCGTCCCCCTTAAGATTGAGAACAAGGCTGGGATGTCTGCTTTCACCCCCGTTAATTGACATAGTACTGGAAGTCTTAGCGACAGCAATCAGGCAAGAAAAGAAATAAAAGGCATCCAAATTTTTAAAGACAAAATAAAACTACCACTGTTTGCAGATGACAAGATACGGTACATAGAGAACCCAAAGATTCCAGTAAGAAACTACTGGAACTGATCAATGAATTCAGCAAAGTAGCAGGATATAAAATCAGGGTCCACAAATCAGTTGCATTTTTATATGCCAATAACATATTAACAGCAAGAAAAATTAAGAAAACAATCCCACTCACAAATGCTACAAAAAGAATACAATACCTAGAAATAAACTTAACCCTGGATGTAAAAGACCTATACTCAAAAAATTGTAAGACACTGAAGAAAGAAATTGAAGAGGATACAAATAAATGGAGGCACATAGTGTGTTCATGAATAGGAAGAATTAACATAATTAAAATGTTCATATCATCCACGACAATCTGTAGATTCAACACAATTCTATCAAGATTCCAATGACATATTTCACAGAACTTAAATATTTAAAAAATTTTATATGGAACCACAAAAGGCCCCATATAGCAACAGTGGTCCTGAGAAAGAAGAACAAAGTTGGAGGAATCATTACTTAATATCAAAATTACTATAAGCCCATAGTATGGTACTAGCATAAAAACAAGACATATAGATCAATGAAATAGAATAGACAGGGTAGAAATAAGCCCACACCTTTATTTTCAAATTATCTTTCACAGAGGAAGCAAGTACATACCACAGGCCAAAGATAGTCTATTCAATACATGGTGCTGGGAAAACTGGACAGGTATGTGCACGAAAATGAAACTAGACCACCTTCTTACAACACACACAACAATAAATCCAAAATGGGTCAAAGATTCAAATGTTAGACACAAAACCATGAAAAAACTATAGAAGAAAACATAGGCAGCAAAATCTCAGACATTACTCATAGCATTATTTTATTAGATATATCTCCCCAGGCAAAGGAAGCAAAAGAAAAAATAAACAAATTGGATTACATCAAACTAAAAAGTTTTTGTACAGCAAAGGAAATCATCAACAAAATAAAACACAACCCACAGAACCAAAGAATAAGAGAACATACTCAATGATATATCTGATAAGGGGTTAACATCCAAAATTTATAAAGAACTTACAAAACTCAACACCAAAAAAAGAACCACCCCAATAAAAAATGGATAAAAGATGTGAATAGATATTTCTCCAAACAAGACAAACAGATGGCCAATATACATATGAAAAGATCCTCAATGTCACTAACCATCAGAGAAATGTAAATTAAAACCACAACGAGTTATCATCTCACACCTGTCAGAATGGCTATCATCAATAAATCAACAGTGTGGGGAAAAGGAAAACCCTTTTGCAGTGCTGATGGGAATGCAGATTGGTGCAGCTGCTGTGGAAAGCAGTCAAAAAATTAAAAACGAATCTGCCTTTTGACCCACTGATCCCACTTCTGGGAATATATTCAAAGGATTCCAAAAACACCAATTTGAAAGAATATCAGCACCCCAATGTTGACTGCAGCACTATTTACAATAGCCAAGATATGGAAGCAGCCCAAGTGTCCATCAGTAGATGAGTGGATAAAACACCTATTGGACACTTACACAATGGAATACTACTTGGCTGGGAAAAAAAATTTTAGGCTTTGCAACTGTATGGATGGACCTGGAGAACATTACTGTGAAGTAAGCCAATCAGTCAGAGAAAGACAAATACCATATGATTTCACTCATATGTAGAATCTAAATACCAACCTACACTAACAAGGAAAATGGGGACAGACTCACAGATGGAGAGCAGGATGACAGCTAAGTAGGGGGTGGGGAGTAGAGGTTAGAGGTGGAGGGATTAAGGAACAAGGATAAAGGACTCATGGTCATGGACAATAATGTGGTGATTGCTGGGGGGGAGGGGATTACAGCAACTAAATGGTAATGGAAAAAATACATTAAAGATTAAAAAAGTGAATTGAAGAAAATGTACAGTTGTAAATCATTCTTCCTCTTTAAACAAATAGTTAGCATGAAAAAAATAAAAATATGGAAGACCTAGAACTACCAAAATAACTTTTCAAAAGCAGACTAGAGTTGGAGGATTTATCCTATCAGACTTCAATATTTATTATAAGTCTCCAGTAATCAAGGCAATGTGAAAGGACACAAAAGAGGTCAATGGTACAAAACAGAGAGTTAAGAAATAGACCTGACATATATACAGTTAAATGATATTTGACAAGGGTGAAAGTCAAGTGATTTCCAATTCAGTGCAAGAGAAAATTTTTTCAACCCATGGTATTTGGGACAATTAGATATCAGTGTGAAAAAAGGCACAAAAATGAATTCAAGATAGATCCCAGACCAAAACATAAAAGATGAAACTGTAACACTCCTAGAATAAAACATATGAGAATATCTTAGCAATTTTCAGATAGATTTATTAAAGAGTACATAGAAAACTTGTATATATATAAAAAATTATAGATGCTCAAAATTAGATACATACATTCTTCAAAACATTCTGTGAATTAGACAAGCTACAGACTGAGAAAAAAGTCTTTAAAACATATATTTAACAGAGGCTTTATATCTAGAACACATCAAGAAATCTTATATATCAATAAAATGAAAAACAACCAAATTAAACAAATGGGTAAAAGATTTAAAAGGACATTTTAAGAGAATGTACAAGATTGGCCAAGAGAACATGAGAAAGTGCTCAACATAATTAGTCACCAGGAAAATGCAAATGAAAAGCACAAAGAGATCTCAGTGCACAGCAGAAAAGCTAAAATGAAAGAAACTTTATATCAATCACTGGAGAAGATGTGGAGCAACTGAAACTCTTACACGTTGCTGCTGTTGAAATGCAAAATAATATAACCTCTTTGAAAAATAATCTGGCAGTTTCTTAACATCTATCCTATGTCTCAGCAGTATCATTCCTAGGATATTTGATATGAGAGAAATGAAAACATATCTCTACAAAAAGCCTTTTACAAAAATTTTCAAAGCAGGTTTGTGCATAATAGCCCTAAATTACAAACAGCCTAGATGTCAATAAATAGGAGACAAAATAAACTGAGGTATATTCATATATTACAAAGCAATAAAAAGGAGTGAACAAATGATACGTAAATCATGAGTGACTATCAAAAACACTACACTGAATGAAAAAATCCTATGCACAAGAATGTATGTACTTCTCCCTCCATTCATATGTAATTATAGAATAAGCAAAAATAATCTGATAATAAAAAATCCGATTAGTAGTTTCTTTGGTACCAGGTGTGGGGTTTTGATTGAAAAGGGCCTTAAGAGAATTTTCTGGGATAATGGAGTGTTCAGTTTCTTGATAGGGAGTATAGTTACATGTGCATGTGTTTGTCAAAATTACTGAAGTACAGCTTAAGTCTGAGCATTTCACTGTGTACAACTTACACTTCAATTTAAAAAAGAAATTTCATATACACTTCGGCTATGCAATAGTACATAAAGACACATGGACAAAACTTCCCTGGAAAAAATCAAGCATCCCATTATGTTTGAAGCAAATTTTGTAGGAATGATTTTATTTTATTGTCAAACATAGTAGTTTTTGAGGAGAGTGGAAAGATTAAATCAAAGGGAATACATAATAAAAAATGCATTTTTTATCTCAATACAGATAAAAATAAGGCTGGATAATTATTCCCCCAAAACATTTGAATGCACTTGAGGTTGTCAGATAAAAATACTAAAGATATTGTGGTTAAACTGCAAGAATTGTTAGAAAGCCCCATACTACTCCTGTTTTATTTCTAAACAAATCCATCTTCTTTTAAACCACCATGCTATTTTAAAAGTTTGAGCACAAAGACCACTTAAAATCTTTTTTCAGGCATGAGAAAAGGCAGAAGTGCAGAATTCCACAATATATTCTGGAACACTGCTGTGTGGAATTAAAAAAGACTATCCATCAACAGGTAAATAAAAGATATGCAATCTGGCTTAAAAGAATTTCCATCACATAGTGTTATTTGAGAATAGAATGATGCAGGAGTAGCGGTACTCAAAGCCCCACACCCTATAGAGGAGGGGCGGAAAGTAGGTTTACAGTTGTTCATATGGAAAATGATTGATAAATAATATAAGAATAAAATCTGTGTTTTGCATACTCGCAACTGTAAATCTGCTTTGTCTCACCTTGTACATACCTTTGGTGCCTATGTGTGTGTATAATATTGAGAGCAGATGTAGATATGACTAAGGCATAGATAAAAGTATGAAAAAAAACACCAACTTGCTAATACTGGCATCTTGAAAAAATTTTAAGAGTGTTCCAACAATAAATATGTAAGAAATGCTGTGATTACACATACATATACAATAAACACATGAAGATAGTAACCAAAATCATTTTAACAAGTGTCAAAGTATACAGATTTTCACTTTCTTCCTCATTTTTATTTCTATCTGCATGTTTTACTATTGACATATGTTATTTATATAACCAGAAAAAAGTGGAATTTTTATTTGGGGGGAAATAAACATCACAGACCTGAAGAATACTGCAAAAAGCTTTGCAATTAAAAAAAAAGTATGGTGTTATAGGTAAAAATGTTCTGAGTTATGCATAATGGTTTAAAATTTTAAATAAGAGATGATTGTATAGTGCGAGCCCTACTTTTTGCCAACATCAAAGAACAAAACATACCATATGAACAGACCCCAAAGGCTGATCACAGACTGATGGGCATACAAACATACCTGGATGGTTCAGAAGAGTATCAAGTTCTTCTTTGGCCACAACCATTCTTAATCTATCACTACTATCAATGACAAAAATAATGGCTTGTCCATCTCTGTATAATATAAAGAATGACAAAAATTAAAAATAAACTCACACATCTTCCCATGTTTACTATCTGTTTGCATGCCCTAACTGGTGCATTATCTCTCCACATCCTATGTCCATTTATCATTATAGGCTTTGGTGCTGTTTCTTATTAGTTCATATGAGTGATTACAATATTAACCATTACTGATATTTCATATAAAATAATTTCATTTCACTTCAGTGATAATACAGTATATTTAATGATTTAAAAGTTATTTCATAATTTAAAAAAATTACAAGTAACACCACAACCCTATAACAGACATGATAATCATTATTTTTTGGGTAAATCAATGTTGACATGCATAATCATGTATGATTATCTATAGCTATAGAAATGGAATCCTGCTGTTGTACACACTGCTTTTCTGACATGTACGTACATTTCACTGATCTTTTCTGCAGTACAGTTTGAACTACTTTTAGTGTCTCTCAAATAATTTTTACCATAACGATAGTGAGACATATATTTTATATTAATATGTAAGACATATAAGTATATGTTAATATATTTGAAATAGGTCCCCTGACACAATATTTACAAATAGTTTTTATTTTAGTCCATTTTATTTTTTTTCAGCTGATACCCAGCCAATGAACTAGTTTAAGGATTCACTTACCGACCACAGTGGTGCTTCAGAAATCACTGATTCCCTCTGCGCCCTTTCTTCTAATAGTTATAAAGTATTTCACTGCATGAATGTGTCATCAGACATTGTGTCGAACTTCTACTGTTGGACTTATTGTAGATTATTTCCAATTTTCATTATTATTGGAAACCTCCTAAATACATTTTTAAAATTTCTTGAAACTTTAAAGATCCATTCTTAGGAATAAAATTTCTAGGAATATATATAAAATTTAAAGTTTTAGATAAACAATGATAGATTGTCTTCCAGAAATGCTGTATGCATTTATATCACTATCTGCATTTTTCCTATCCACCTGTGTTATGGCTCCTATAATTTTTTCGATCTTTGTCATTGTAACAGTTATATTATTTGACCTATATTTTATTAAATGCTAGTGAAGTTCAATATCTTTTCATGTATTCATTGGACATTTACACTTTTTTTGTGAATCACTTATTCCAGTCATGAATTAAGATTTTAAAGTTCAATGTCATTAATAATCACATAACTATAAAAATAAAACAACTTTTTAGTACCGCTGTCTTGTATCACTTAAAAATGTAAATGCAGATTAGCAGAGTCACACACTACCAATGGATACAGAAACTGGTCCCACTGGAAACATCCAACCAAAGCTTTAAAAATGTTCAATCACATAAACAGTGACAAAGATTTATGCAGCCAGATGGTAACTGAAGAACTGCTTATAATCTTCAAAAACCAAAAGTAGCCGTCATATACAAATAGAGAAATGACATGGCAAATTTTGGCATAGGCATATGAAAAATGTTAGGCAGACATTAGAGTTATAGTCTTTGTATGTTTTTCCTGATTCACCTGCATCATCGAATATTAACTGAAAAAGCAGAATAAAAAACTATATATGGTATATGATTTAGAAGGTTCCTTTCTCAGTTATATAGAAAGTACATTACATATTCCAAAACACGATCTTTTTAATCTTTCAGCCTAATGCATTAAAATGCACTTAATAATAATCAGAAAAGCATAGAGATACATAAAAATAAATTTACTATTACTGTAGCCTCAATGGTAACCATCTTACCATTTAACCTACAATTTATCTATAATATTCCTGAATTCAGCAGCTTCTTCCAAAAAAATTTTGAAGGGAAGTTAAAATCAGAAAAAAAACTTGCATGTTTTAAAGTACTATTTTCTATGTACTTTTGCTTTCTGTAAAATAATTAAACTAAGTTTTAGTGCACACTCTGGCAGCACATATACTAAAACTGGAACAATACAGAGAAGATTAGCATGGCCCCTATGCATGGATAGATGACACACAAATTCATGAAGTGGGCCATATTTAAAAAGAAAAGTGTTGGACTTCTGACCAAGATGGAGGTGTAGGTGGGAACACTGTGTTTCCTGCACAACCAAAATTAAGGACAACAAAGATTTAGAAATAAAAACACAACCAGAACACACAGAAAATTGAACTGTACGAAAGTCTGACAACCATTCATCCAGACCAGTAAGAGGCGAGGAGTCAGCGGCTGGTGGAGAGGGGTCCTGGCAGGAAAAGGCAGTGGCTGGCAGACCTGGGCACACAGGTGGCGTGGGACTAGCAGACTCTGGGTGTGGGGAGGAAATCAGCAAACCCAGTGAGGTACGCAAGGCTGCTGGCTGACCATGGTCACACATTTGCACCCAGATAAACCAGGGAAAAACAGGCAGTGAGACAGACTGCGCAACCCAGGGCCCCAGTGATGGGAAATAAAGCCTAAAAGCACCGACTGAAAACACTTGTGGGGGCTGAGGTGCCAGGAGAGACTCCCAGCCTCACAGGAGAGTTTGTTGGAGAGACCCACAGGGTCCTAGAATGTACACAAGTCCACTGACCTGGGATCCAGCACTAGAAGGGCCCAATTTGCTTGTGGGAAGCAGCGGAAGGGACTGAAATACGAGTGGAGCAAGTGCCATTATTCCCTCTCTGACCCTGTCCCCAGAAACAGCATCACAACCCAGCTGGGTTGCCCCGCCCTGGTGGACACCTAAGGCTCTGCCCCTCATATATAACATGTGTGACCAGACCAAAAAATTATGGCTCCAACTGAAGAACAGATCAAAGCCCCAGAGCCAATACTTTTAAGCAACCAAGAGATAGCCAACTTATTAGATGCACAGTTCAAAACACTGGTGATCAGGATGTTCACAGAACTGGTTGATTTTGGTCTCAAATTAGATGAAAAAATGAAGGCTACACTAAGTGAAATGAAGCAAAATGCACAAGGAACCAATAGTGATAGAAAGAAAACTGGGACTCAAATCAATGGAGTGGACCAGAAGGAAGAAAGAAACAACCAAATAGAAAAGAATGAAGAAACAAGAATTCGAAAAAATGAGGAGAGGCTTAGGAACCTCCAGGACATCTTTAAATGTTTCAACATCCGAATTATAGGGGTACCAGAGGGGGAAGAGGAACAGCCACAAGTGGAAAACTTATTTGAACAAATAATAAAGGAGAACTTCCCCAATCTGGCAAAGGAAATAGACTTCCAGGAAATCCAGGAAGCTCAGAGAGTCCCAAAGAAGGTGCACCCAAGGAGGAACACACCAAGGCACATCATAATTATATTACCCAAGATTAAAATGAAGGAGAGAAGTCTAGAAGCAGTAAGATATAAGGAGACAGTCACCTACAAAGGAGTTCCCATCGGACTGTCAGCTGATTTCTCAAAAGAGACCTTACAGGCAAGAAGGGGCTGGAAAGAAGTATTCCAAGTCATGAAAGATAAGGAACTACATCCAAGATTGCTCTATCCAGCAAAGCTTTCATTTAGAATGGAAGGGCAGATAAAGTGTTTCTCAGATAAGGTCAAGTTCAAGGAGTTCATCATCACCAAGCCCTTATTATATGAAATGTTAAAGGGACTTATCTAAGAAAAAGAAGATAAAAAAGATGAACAGTGAAAGGACAGCAAACTCACAGTTATTAAGAGCCACACCTAAAATAAAAGCAGTCTAAGAGGACAATTAGATCAGGAGTGGATCCATAGAAATGGAGCTCACATGGAGGGTTAGCAACAGGGGAGTGGGAGGAGGAGAAAAGGGGAGAAAGTACAGAGAATAAGTAGCATAGATGGTAGGTAGAAAATAGACAGGGGGAGGCAAGAATAGTATGGGAAATGTACAAGCTAAAGAACTTGTGACACATGGACATGAACTAAAGTGGGAGAATGTGGGTGGGAGGCTGTGTGCCGGGTGGAGGGGAATGAAGGGGGGGAACTGGGACAACTGTAATGGCATAATCAATTAAAAAAATAAAAATAAAAATAAATAAATAAAATAAAAAGGGTTATTTTTTAAAAAGTAGGTAAAGTAAATACAATTTTTGTAAAAAGACTTTTTACCACCTAACTGGGGAAGAAATTTTAAAAATCTTACACTGAAAGCTCCAGTTTTTCTAAATAAAAGGATAAAAAAGCAGCTCATATTTCTCCAGGAAATTTAATGCACAATATCACAACATGCCACTTTTCCTTTTCCAAACTGACCCTCAAATCTGAAGCACTCTTTTCTCTCTACCTCAGAGGTCCTCTGGATCAATATACAACTTAAATAGGTCTTCAATTTATTAACATACGCATTGAAAAGAATATCTGAAACAAATTTTCTTGGTTCCTATCTGAGAAACACACTGTTCTCAAAAGTTTATTAGCAGGAAAAGATTACCCAAAATCACAATGTGATCTGGCAGTAATCACACACCATTTTACTGCTAGAGTTAAGGACAAAGGGGCATTTAGTCAAGGTACATTGTTTGTAAGTTTCAGATTCTAAAAGTGAGTTACACTGCTTTTAAATGAAGAAATATCCTAGCTATATTAGAAGTTAATTAATTCATTTTAACACCTAATGCAAACCTAGAGAGGGTATAACACATCTGGATCCTAGTAACTTGACAGCTGTTAATTTAATGTGATTAGTGAGTGCTTGACTCACCTAGGCTAAAAAATACCCTTAGAATTGCTTATAGAACAAATGGATGGATCAACTGTTATAGAGTACGGTTATTTTAACTAAATTTACTCAATAAATATTTACTGACCTATATGCTCATCATCATAGTTGTCCTTGAAGAAATCATCTGAATGAAAAATAATCCCTGCTCTTGGGGAGGAGTTCACAACCTCACTAGGAAGGCAGCTACAGCACATGACTTTAGGATACAGTGAGTGTGACTGGAGACGTGAAAGTACTGCGTGAACACTGGGACAGGGTAACTGGGTGAACAGTGAGCTTTCACAGAGGGAGGGACTTTAGTGCTAGTCTTTAAAGAATGATATATGAACCCAAGCAGCACCAAAGAATTAGGGTAGAACAGGGTGTTAAAAAAGGAGAGAACAGAATATGCAGAGGTTCAAGGTTATGAAAGACTTCATGCATATGAGAAGTAATGTGAAGTATGATGATACTTTTTTAAAAAATTAGGGCATGTGTTTAAATTATATGAAAAATAAACACTGCGACCTAGCCCATGTGATCACTTGGATTTCCAATCATTATTTGTATTACGATATACCCATCTAGTTAACCAACATTCACAAACATACTTACTTATAGTAGTGTTCCCAGAGATTTCTATATCTTCCTTGACCTGACATGTCAAACACTGTAAAAGACAAACTAGAAAAAAAAACACAAAAAGACTCATGACTATATTATAAGCTATGAACTTTGAAGTATAACTTTCACTTAAACTTTTAAATTGTTTTCAATCAAGAACACCACTCTTGAATATACAATATTCAACTCAGGCCACTTTTCAAGTACAAATGCCATAAAATAAATGTATTGAATAGAAGTAAGATTTTGTAGTGAATAATATTAAAAAAAAAACCCAAAAGATGTTCTTTGTTAGTGAGATTATCAGCATTTGTCTAAAGTCTAAATTCTAAATTCTGAAAAATAATCCAGAGGTAGTGGTACAAATATTTTAATACCTAAGAACCTCCAGGTTCTTAGGTATATGTCTGAAAAAACAAAAAGATTATTTTTTCTTACAGTAGGAGGAATGACTAGATCTAATATAATCATGTTTTACCCGCAACTTCTTAGTCACAAGTATAATGAGGTGAAAATTACCTGGATGATTTGAATTTCTCTATGCTGAATCCTATTGTTGGAACTATATCTTGAGATTGAGCCTTTAAGAGAAAAGATAAAACTTAAAAATTAGTAATTATCAGACTTCTGGTCAAGACAGAAGTGGAGGTTCTATCTTGATGGGTCCCCTCCTCACACAACCACATCAAAATTACAACTAAACTAAAGAACAACCATCACTCAAAACTGTCAGAAACTGAGTTGAATGGAACTCTGACAATCATGAAGTAAATAAACCATATCCATCCAGACTGGCAGGAGATGTGGAGATGCAGAATGGGCTGGTCCCACACCCATGTGTGGTGGATAAACATTCAGGGGGGATAATCTCGGGATATCCCAGCCCCACACCAGGCCCCCCAGCCCAAGATTCCAGTGTCAGGAAGATAAGCCCCCATAACTTGTGGCTTAAAAACCAGTAGGGTTTGAGTGGGTGAAAGGAACTACTAGAGTCACAAGCAGTGCCTCTTAAAAGGCTCACACACAGACTCACTCCCTCTGAGCTCCAGCACTGGGTTAGTAGCTTGCAAGGCACTAGTGGCATGTGGGGAGGAACTGAAGTGTTTGATATCAGGGCAAGACTGAGTGATAGTGTCACCCAGACAGAAAGGCCAGCAGAAGCCATTTTTCCTTTTCTTTTTTTTAAAAAAAAATTTTTATTTATTTATTTTTTAATTAATTTTATTTAGTTATTTTTCGAGTACAGTTTTTTTGTCTATTTCTCCCATCCCAGCCTCCCCCCCATTTTTCCTTTTCTGAGACCTCTACACACACAGCCACACAGCCACAGAGCCACAGAGCAGGCAGAAGGGAGCCACAGCTGAGATGCCATCAACCAGGCTCACACAGTCTGCTTTACCCTTGGGAATCACTGAAGCTCCGCCCCACTCAACTTACGGTCCACCCAAGCTACTAATAATGACTTTTCCATATGAATGACTGGTCTTGGTTCAAGTTTCATATCTTCCTAAATTCTCTCAAATAAGCACAATCAACCTCAGTGAGGCCCTAGCACCAGTACTTCTAGCTAAGTGGCCCCAGGCCCAGCACTAGCAGCAGCCAGGTTTGGATCACAGTACGGCTTCACCTGGGACTTGCAAGCCCAGCACAAGTAGCGGCCATCTTAAGAGTGATCTGTAGCTCATGCTGGGTGTCCTGGGTGGAACACAGGTAGGGGCTGACCTTGGCCTGCACCCCCCAGGAAAGCCCAGAGCCTGTGTACCCAGTGGATAGCTAAAGACCACGATGGAGCACCACCACCCTGCCCCAGCACAACTGATCCTCCATGGAGGGTGGAGGCTGATAGTCAGTGGTCACAACCAGTTCTTGCAGCTGACTGGCTGGGGTAAATCCCTCCCATTGACCTCCCCAGCAATCAAGACTCAACTACAAGAGAAGGGTATACTCAGCTCACATGAAAGGTGCACCTTGAGTAACCAGCTTCGGTGATAGGGGAGTCTGTGCCACTGTACCCTACAGGACACCTACTAAAATATGCCACACTACCAGGACATGGAATCACAGCAGCTCTATTTAGTACATAGAAATAAACACAGGGAGGCTGCCAAATTGAGGAGACAAAGAAACATGGTTCAAATGAAAGAACAGATCAAATCTCCAGAAAAAAGCCTAAACAAAATGGAGATGAGCAATTTATCAGATGCACAATTAAAAACATTGGTTATAAGGATGCTGAAGGACCTTAGTGAGTACCTCAATAGCATAAAACAGATCCAAGCGGAAATGAAGAATTTACTAATTGAAATAAAGAACAATTTACAGAGAATCAGCAGTAGGGTGGATGAAACTAAGATTCAAACCAATGACACAGAACATCAGGAAACAAAAAAACAACCAATCAGAACAACAAGAAGAAAAAGAAATTAAAAAAAAAAAAGATAGTGTAAGGAGCCTTCAGGACAACTTCAAGCATTCCAACATTCACATCATGAGAGTGCCAGAAGAATAGAAAGAGCAAGAAATTGCACATTTGTTTAACAAAACAATGAAAGAAAGCATCCCTAATCTGATAGGCATGCAAGTGCAGGAAGCTCAGAGACTCCCAAACAAGATGGACCCAAAGAGGCCCACTTCAAGACACATCACAGTGAAAATGCCAAAGGTTAAAGATAAAGAGAATTTTAAAAGCAGCAAGAGAAAAGAAGTTAGTTACCTACAAGGGAGTTCCCATAAGACTGCTGATTTCTCAAAAGAAACTTTCAGGCTAGAAGGAACTGACAAGAAATATTCAAAGTCATGAAAAGTGGGGACCATTAGCCAAGACTGCTCTACCCAGCCAACTTGTCATTTAGAGTCAAAGAGCAGATAAAGAGGTTCCCAGACAAGATTAACTAAAGAAGTTCATCATCACCTAACTATTATTATATGAAATGTTAAAGGAACTTATTTAAGAAAAAGAAGATTAAAACTGTGAACAATAAAATGGCAATAAACATGTACTTATCAACAAATGAATCTAAAAAACAAACTAAGCAAACAAGAAGGACAGAGAGAGAATCATGGATATGGAGAGTGTTTTGATAGTTTCCAGATGAAAAGGGGGTGGGGGGAATGGATGAAGAGATGAGGGGAGTAAGAAGTACAAATAGGTAGTTACAGAATAGCCATGGGGATGGTAAAGTACAGTTCAGGGAATGGAGTAGCCAAGAAATTACACGCATGACCCATGGACCTGAACAAAGGGGTGGGGACTGCTTGAGGGAGCGGGGGATCCTAGATGAGGGTATACAGAGAGAAAAATCAGACAACTGTAACAGCAAAATCAGTGAAATATAATTTAAAAGAAAAAAACTGTTATGATCAAAGATGACATTTTTCCTGAGCTTAAAAAAAGCATCCTGATTTTCCAAGTCTAAAATCTGTTACTAAGGAGATAGTAGGATTAGACAAAATAATAATTTTTACAGGGGTAAATTTATAGAAGTTTAAGGTTTACTAATTATGAATTTGTATAACGCGTATTAATTCACATTTTGTGTGGCTTGCTGCAAGTTAACATGGACTTAAAGTGGTTTTATAAGTCACTCTGAATTCACATGTAGGACTTTCTAATCTTTCAACACATATTTACCAAGCTCATATGTGCTATGGGCACTGTCCTCTTGCTGGCATGGTGAATCTACCCAGGCCCTGTCCCATGGAGTTTATAATCTAGAGGAGATAAACAGCAATAAAGAACTACTAAGTTATAAACAAAAACACACTTTTGGGCAGTGATAAGTGTAACAAAAGGTAACTGGAGGTTGCAAGATAATGGGTCAGGGGGTTGTTATGAGGTATGGAAAAAGGGTGCTCAGGTACTTCTCCGAAAAGCTTCTCTGAAGAGGTGACATCTGACCAAGGAGTAAATATGAAGAGGAAAAGCTATGACAAGATCTTGGCAAAGGACATCCCAGTGCAACAACCCTAAGACAGGAAGAAACTTACCTCTTGGGAAAAGAAGGCGGCCTGCATGTCCCAAGTGTATTGCCTGATGGATAGAGCTGTATGCAATGAAGTAAGGGAGGAAGGGCCTCAAAGGCCACAGTGGGGAATTCTTCGTGAAGAAACGGCAAGGGGGTAAGAGTACAGCAAGAGACTTGCTGACAAGTCCCACAGGCCAGTAATATGCCTTACACCGATGAGTTAACAAGGTGTCTCCCTACAGTTCCACCATCAAAACTGTTTCTACTTTTGAATAAGACTCATCCACATCCTGATCAAGATGCCCAGGAGTTACTCTTGACTCCTTTCTATTTTATATTCTCTGTATAACCTTTCTCTGAGCTTTACTGGTTCCCTCTTACTAACATGTCAGGCCTTATCATTTCTTGCTTTGAATTACAACAGCTTTCTAATTTCTAATATGCTACCTTAAAGAAGTTACTTAATTTCTCTAAGCCCTAGTTTTCTCTAATTTAAAACATACTATGATCCTTAACTCATAAAGCTATATGAAAATTAAATGAGCTAATGGATGCAAAATACTCAACACAGTGTCTGGCCCATAGTAAATACTCAATGAATGTTTGCTATTATAACTACTGTCACTGATGTTATTCTTGTCCACAATTTTCTCCATACTCCCACAAGTACAATTTTGAAAATCCCCCTTCAGTTCATCTTGTTGTTTTTATGTGAAAACAGGAGAGACGGAGGGCAAGTTGCTGCCTCACATCATTATGTGCACTTTGCTAGTCTATTCCTGGAAATTTAAAATTAAAATGGAAAGACAGAAGCTGAAAAGTCACTGGAGCTTGGACACTTGAATGTTAACATGCTAGTGAAAAAGCATGCTCAGAGCTGCCTTGGTTTTGTCTTTCAGAAGTTTGTTTATTCAGCTTTTTCTTCCATCTTTCAAGTGCCCAGTATTCTTCCAAAAATAGCTTTCTTTTTGTTGATGTTAGAGTTTATTTCCTGCTACCTAGATTCCTGCTGTATAGCTTAGGGCTCCTTCACTGCACCAGAAACTCTGAAATAAAGAGTCTCCTAATTTCTAAAATACCCTACTGCTTTGACTTTAAAGTTCTTCATGTGCCAATCTTGTGATAAAATAAACCATCACCTTTTATTAGGAAAAACATACCAATAGTAAAAAAGTAAGGAAGTTAAAGATTTAAGAAATCTCTGAAAATAGCAGCCTTGTTTTCACAGGATCGTAAAACGTTCATACAGCCTTTCCTAAATTGTTTAGCTTTTTCACAAACTCTTGTTTCCAGAGAAGCTCCTTTTAATTTGCTGTTTTACCTAATAGGGATAAAATTATTCAACTTCCTTTTTTCCCTTCTTACTTCTCAAGTTCGAATGGAAGACAATTAGAAAGAAGAGACTCCACAAATGAAGCAGAACAGAACAAGATAAGTCAGCTGGTGTTTCCACATTCAATTGGGATTCATTCTCCTCTAAAGAATTTCAAAAAATAGTCTCCAACATTACTCTCCCTCTGCTTTATCCAGAAGAAATGCATTTTGGTCATTCTCTAAACTGGAAAGGGGATGATGCAAAGTAAACAAAGAGTATAGGAATTATTATTGCCTAAGTGGGATAGACCACTTAGGGCTAAGACAGCCCAGGGATAGACCAACATCAAGAAAAGGAGATTTCTGAGAGAGACCCTATTTGGTTAGCTTCATTAAGTCTTAGTAAAAATGATGTGTCTGGTGCCTACCCAAAAATAAAAACAACAAAAAAAAATCAGCCATCAGTCCATTTGTCCAAAAATATATTTTAAGTACCAAGCAATATTGTACGTATTTGGGATTCAGTTTTGACCAATATAAGATCCATGATCTTATAAAATTTAAATTTAAATTTATGAAGGAAAATTTAATACACAAGTTATCTCCCATCCAAGTCACCTACAAAGGACTTCCCATCAGACTGTCAGCGGATTTCTCAAAAGAGACCTTACAGGCAAGAAGGGGCTGAAACGAGGTATTCCAAGTCATGAAATCCAAAGACCTACATCCAAGATTGATCTATCCAGCAAAGCTTTCATTAGAATGGAAGGGCAGATAAAGTGCTTCTCAGATAAGATCAAGTTCAAGGACTTCATCATCACCAAGCCCTTATTATACGAAATGTTAAAGGGACTTACCTAAGAAAGAGAAGATAAAAAACATGAACAGTGAAAGGACAGCAAACTCAGTTATTAACAACCACACCTAAAACAAAAGCAAACTAAGAGGACAGCTAGATCAGGAGTGGAAACATAGAAATGGAGATCACATGGAGGGTTAGCAACAGGGGAGTGTGAGGAGCAGAAGGGGGGAGAAGGTGCAGAGAATAAGTAGCATAGATGGTGGGGAGAAAATAGATAGGGGGGGAGGGCAAGAATAGTAGGGGAAATATAGAATCTAAAGAACTTGAGACACGTGGTCATGAACTAAAGGGGGGGAATGGTGGGGGAGGGGTGTGCAGGGTGGAGGGAAATGAAGGAGGGAAACAGACAACTGTCATTGCATAATTAATAGAATATATTTAAAAAACAACAACAACAAAAAACCAAGTTATCAACTGAATATGCAAGATAATTTCAGATTACTTTAAATGCTAAGAATATAAAACTGTATGATAGCATTTATGTTGAGAAATGAGAGAAAAAAATGAGAATTTTAGTAGAAAGGTGTTTATGGAGTGCATCTCTAAGAAAAAGCTGACACCAGATTCTTGAGAAGCGTGATCAGGTTAAAACGTGCCCCTTCTCTCCCTATTCGTCAGTTTAGAAAACATCAGCAACCTCAATTTATAAACAATAAATAAACATTAGGACAGCTTAATAGTAAAAACCAGTGTGGGTCCAGGAAGTATTTAGTTATCTAGAAACTGATTTTATCCTTAAAAATTATAAGGGACTACTTTACTATAAAATGAAATTTGCAAATTTTTAAGAGCATTTCTGATATAGCATTGTAGATTTCTACAGTTCAGTTAATTTATTAAAAATAAAGTTTCTAGGTCCATTTCTCCACCTGGAAGGACACTGGTGTTGAGGAGAATACAACGACCATGTCTTCCAGTGCTTTGACAAAGCCTCACACGAGTGGCCTTCTGGCCAAGTGTCTGGGATTTCATCTGGTGGGAGCCATCCTTGTATCCCTGGGGGCTGCAGCTTCCTATAACTTTGGTGTGGCTGAAAAAAGAAAGAAGGCATATGCAGGTTTCTGCAGAAATTATGATTCCAGGAAAGATTTCGAGATGAGGAAGCCTGGTATCTTTCAGAGTACAAAGTGATCCTGGAATGTAAAGAATTTCTCTGGGGTGAATTCTGTAGAAGGCTGTCACTGACCTGTGTTCCTGAACTATGTGTGAAACATGAATATTTGAGCTAAGGAAAAGTTTCTCTTGGTAAATAAACAATTAAGAAATTTAAAAAATAATATTTCTAATACTAAACTCACAAGAGGCTCTTCTTTGGTTCAAAGGTAGGGAGGAAGCAATTGTTTTTATCTATACCTTTGTGACAGAGGTTTTGAGGTCTTTAAGAAGTCCATTTCAAGTGGCCTCTTGGCTATTGTCACCAAGGTTTTTTTTTTTTTTTAAAGCAAAGCAACTTAGTCAGCTCTCAGGACTAGAGGCCAACTGCTGTGCGGAGAAGGGCAGTTGCTAGTTCTCTAATTCACCAGAGACAACAGAAAGACAAAGATATCGTAAAGCAATAGAAGCAATTAAAAAGCCTTAGTTATTCGTTGTGCACCCAGATTTTCCTGAGGGCTCCACCTAAACTGGTGTACGAGGCAGTGTCAATAGTTCTTCTGCAAGACCAGACTGAAACGGGAATATCAGAATCTTTCAAGATGACAAACTGAACACATGCTACTTCTTTCCTCTTTTGTCCCAAAGCTCTAGAAATGACAGAAGAAATTACAAAAGAAAATTCATAACTAAGTTAAAAATGAGCAAGTGTTTTCAAAGTACCAAACACTGTTTACAGAGAAAGCTATTCCCATACATATCAAAGATGATTCTTACAGTAATATGTGTTGGGACAGAAATCACTACACTGTTGGGGATGATAGAGGATGAGACTGTAATTTCTATTTTGTTCTTGGAAAGTTATTTCTCCCATTTGATATAGTAGGCATGGGGGATGGGGAGGAGTTGGTCCCCCCCACAGAGCTATTAACTGTGGCTCTGGTTTCAATCATTTGTATTTACTTGTAACTATTTTTACTAAAAAAATGATTTTGAGGCCAGTTGGGTATGGTTCTACCTATTTACCATATATCCATTGTTCTCTAAACTCAATTCTGGACCCCATCCAATTAGATAGGATGCTGCACCTTTGACTTACAGACCAATAAAGAAATTTCTTGTAATCACCCAGGTCAGGAGACACACACACACATTCTTCCCCAGTAAGGAAAAGAATCTGTTTTTCCCTGTTTCCATACAGAGAAAGCACTATTAGAATGATGTCCTAGTTTCTCTCTATCTCCTTGCCCAATTTATTCCTTTCTATGGGGGGAAATAAATTACTTCTCTGCTTAGTTTGTACAATAGAACTGAACCTCCTTGGTTCTGTCTGACTCTTTCTTATTTGAGAGCTATGTACTTATTGCAAGCATGTGTTCTCATCAGTTCTTAGCTATGCAGTAAACCTAGAAGAGCTGGATTTTCCAAGGAGGAAATCTTGACATTCCGACTAAAGAGAGTGTTGGGAAGTTCTCTGGCCGGACCTAAACTTTGTCTTCCAAAATCAACCTCTTCAATAAAGGTGACATTATTTGACGTCTGGCTGACTTCAGCATGTATGTTATCAACTGATTCCCAATTCAGCTGGGAGCCCTCTTAAAACGCCTATATTACCTCCCAAATCCATTTTCAGCTTCTTATCCCAGCTACTTCAAACTAATTCCCACTTAAAAATATACCAGTAGTTAGTTGTTTTTAAATGGCAAACTCATCTCTGTAGAAGAAAAGAAATAATGACATTTTCTCAATTCAGAAGCAATTTCCAACTAAATAGAAGTAAAACTGAAGCTGTTGCAAAACAAAATGGAGCAGGAAGTCATTCTGCCCAAACTGAAGCACTGTTTGGAGGCCCGGAAGTCCACCTCTAATCACCATATTAAGGAGCAACATTTCCCACTCTCTACTCATTTGGTCAGTGTGTGTACCTGTCTGCCCTATCTGTGCAGTCCATATTGCCTTTTTACTCAACATTTTTCATGAACTGATTAATGGTTTTTACCTAGATGTATTTACAACTGTGAATGTTGCCTACTCAATATTCATTTTCTCCTGCTTCCATACCATAGGACCCTTATTATTTTTGAAAGGAGTAATGTGCCCTGCTTCCAAGACCCAACCTTATTTAGAGATAGGGGTAGCCAATGAGGTATAAGTAAGAGTTATTAGTTGGAGCTTCTTGGGAAGCTCTTCAGAGAAGGCTTGTTTAGGAAGAAGGCCTATTCTTTTGTCCTGTTCTTTCATCCTCCTGTGACTTAGAATATAGATATGACAGCTAACCAAAGTGACCACATGGAGATCTTTCAGGCACTGAAAATAGCAAAGCAGAAAGTTGGGAGATAACTCAATCTCTTGTGACCATGTAGCTACTATACCTGCCTGGGAATACGAAGTTTCTTTTTTTTTTTTAGTCCAATGTTATGTGGGTTTTCTTTATATGTACTCGAACCTTGCTTTAACTGGTGTGTCGTGTGTTGAATACACTAACTTTATATATTGTATTTTTCATTTACTAAAAAATTATGCTTACATACTTATTACTAAATGACTTAAAGGTCATCTTGCTTACTACTACTGATTCAACACAGTCTTGGGAAACTGATTATTCATGGGACCTATAAAAATGATTCACCTTTCCTTTTGTTTTGTTCCTCTTGTAAAGAGAGAGCCAAAAGAAGGCAAAATGACCTGAAAGTAAACTTGGCAAATTTGTAAAGATCTTTTGAGAAAAAAAGACATTTGGGAAATATTCCAGTTTAAATAATCAAGACTTACCTATATATCTGCATAAAATATACTGCAAATTATGGCTGACTGATACTTATTACTTTAAGCTACAGTAATGTTAATAGGATTTCATAACATGTAGTTATAACAGCAACAAAATAAACTTGCATATGAACTTTCTCTAGCAGAAAATACATAGAGCATCTAACAAAGATACTTACATTTGAAGGTTTGAGTTTGTTAATGATTGTTGTTTTGCCACTATTATCCAGCCCAAGGCACAAAACATGAACCTCCTTCTTCTTCAGACCAAGCAACCCTGAAAGTCTGTCTAGTAATCCCATAATATGATTCAAATATTTACAAGCTAGCTGCAAGTCAGAAAAAAAAGTACATTACTCACAGGCACTTTAAGTTTGGAAAATATGAGCATAATATATGATAATATAAAGACACAACGATGTGAAAACCATGTCAATGTACCTTTGCATTTAGTAAACAAAGTATAAGCTGATTACCAGAAAGGAGCCTTAGCTAAAATGCAGATTGGCAGTTTATAACCCCTGGCAACACAGAATAATGCCCTTGAAATAACTGTACATTTCTCATTGTAGTTTTATAATATTTAGGAAGAAAAAGTGGTATCTACCATTTTTGATACATGAAAATATCTGCAGCCCTTTCTAGAAATCTGGAACAATGTACTGGCAATGGGGTTCACGTGGAGCCTAAGGCTGAAGCTGAGAAAGTAGAAGACAGACCAGAAAAACTGAGATTCTGGCTACACCATCTGAGCCACAGGCTAAATCTTTTCCTGAAGCCAGCCATATTGTTGTATTTTGCAAGAATATGAAGTAATAAATATTAAACTCACTGTTTTTGTTTGCTTATGTCCAGTATAGGCTGCATCAATAGAAACAGAATTCTAATATATTTATCTTAATTTTCCCTTAGTTCTTACACATGTTTATGTTGTCACTACAAATTCATTTAGAAAGAAGTTTATGTGTAATATACATACATATGTATAAACAACTTTATCAAAATAAAAATGTTAAAACTGTTATTCATCTGAAATAGCCTATTAAGTATTATCTTAAAAGAACTTTAATTAGTATACCCATAAAGAATAAGAAACTACATACTGATCCTAGATTTTAATCTAGTTTTCTTAAATATTGTTAAAGTTTATTTAACTCATTTATTTAATTCAAATGACGTGAATTGGTCATCTGTTTATCCATTCTTTCTTTAGGAAAAAAAATTCTTCCAATGCAAACTGAAAAATAAAAAAACCTCATTAGAAATTCAAAACAGAAGTATTTTAAGGTCAAATAAAATGGCTGAAGACATATTGCTCATTATGTGATAACCTATATATACCTTCTAAGGTACTGTCAAATTTAGACGTCAGGTTTCCAAATGAAACTTCCCAAAGGTGTATCCTTTAGATCTATCACTTACCGAAACATTATTATGTGGTGGGAGAAGAAAGCCCTCAACTGCTGAAGGGACTGCTACTGCAGTAGTTCTAATACACTCATGTCCTAAATATTTCCTATTACTCTTTGGACTGTCATTTTCAAAGTTCTCTAAATATTAACCTCATTTATTTGATTTATTCTCACCTCCATCTGAGGTTCCAGAAGCCTGTTATCTTACAGCTCCTTCACTATTTTTTTAATCTCACACAATCTCAGACAAGGCTATACTTTGAAGGATGTGAGGCTGCAGCAACTTAAAAGATAAAAGGCTTCGAAGACAACTGCTTTTGAAATGAGGCTGCATCATCAGCTTTGCTTAGGACCCTTGGGAGATCATTATGGATAGAAGTTTCAAAACTGAATTCTAATCATGTGCAGGGGAAAAAAGTGACCCATCTTAGCACGGGGCCTTATCGCAGAGCCACAGTTGCCTTACCCAAGGAATGGGGTTCATGTCAGGTTCTCCATTTGTCCAACTTGAATCAAGTTTTCTCCTTGTGATGAAGATTTAAATTTCATTCAGTTCATTCCTTTATATCTCAGTTTAAGATGAGCATTTCTAGAATCTACTTTAAGCTTGCCTTCTGATAACATAAAATAATTCACAGAGACAATTTTAATTCAAAGTAAATTTACTATAACTCACTGTTGTTTATTGTACTAAACTTACTGATATAAAGACACATAATTTTCCATTTCCCATACAATTTTTAATAGATTAATAAAAACATGACCACTTCTCACTTCATTCCCCTCAGGACATTTACTATAAAGCATCGATTGTCAAAAGCTTGATATTGAATATTCATTTTTCAAAGAAACTTGGGTTGCGATTTTCCATCTTTTTCATGGATTATCAAACACCCAGTGCTTGAGACATTCAATTTAAAAGAACAGTCAGTTGTTCTAAGAGATGTAGTTACATTTATTGAACTTGCTTTATAGACAACTATCATATGCTTCTATTTCTTAATAAATATACATTTCTCTAAATTTACTTTTGCTTGCATGAAAGAAGGAAAAAAAGATATGCCAAGCCACTCAACATTTATTTTATCATGCCGTAAGTGCATAGCGGGAGATACAATGCAAGTTTTCTACAGCTTCCTCCTCCCTCAGCCATCGTTCTCAACCCTGGAATTAACTACTGGATCAGTATATCTGAAGGGAGCAGGGCATCTGTATTTTAAAAAGCTACACAGTGTTTCTGATATACAGTCACTAGTAAGAACTAATGGCTTTCAGAATAAAATTCCAAGCTTTCATACACTTTTAAGGTGGTTCACATTTTGGCTCCAATCTACCTTTCCAGTTTTGCATCTTATTGTTTTCCTCTCTCTGCACACTAGTTAATCAAATTCTCTTAGCTGTTATCCAAGAAACTACTTTGTAAATGTTTACTTGTTGTCGGAAAAGTCCTGAAGAATTAGGATTTTATCCACAGTTAAGAACGTGGAAGATAAGCTGCAGAGATAGTGGTCGGGGAAAGAAAATACCAGGAGTGGTACTCTGTAAACTGTAAAAATGTGTCTAGAGTGAATTATAGTACACTAACTACCTCAATTAAACATTTTTATTCAACTTTCAGTTTTTGATTATGAAATTTCAATTACACTTCTCACGCACCGAATAACAACGCCAAAACTGTGTAGTGTTAAAAATCAAAGATTTGCCCAACCAGTTCAATGAGTTTTCTGGGATCCCTAGCGGTCACTGCATAAATCTCCTTTTCTATCTGTCACAAATTAAACTGATTACACATAATGAAAAACATGGGAAAGAGTTACCCCAAAACTGACCGGGGCAGGAGCGGGGGCGTGGGGAAGGTGAGGGGCCCCGCGGGCTGCAAAAATTGTAGGTGGGGAACTACCTGGTCTTTGAGGTTAGTTCTGTGGGCCCCGGAGCTGATGAGGGGCAGGAATGGACACGCACTCGCTCGTTACAGTCTCTCAGGATACCTGGTCCTGACCAAAGCCGCCGCCTCCACTAGTTGGGCGAACGGTAGCCCGAGTCGCAACCCACGCATCCGTCCAAGGGACGGCGACTGGGCGTGTGGCGTTCCCTTGGCAACCGAAGGTACTTCCGGTCCGGAAGCCACCCTTCCTCCGAGATCAGAGCGGGTCAGCCGCATTCGTTTTGCTTACCGGACTGTAGAGCTCCCGAAAATGTCACACGAAGGAGTATGAAAGAGGGCGGCACGGTGGCTTGGTGGACTGCAGCCTTCCCACAAATTGTTCAGTCCTAGAGGAGGATGATGGGAGTTGTAGGCGCGCGCACGGACTGCTGGGAAGCGTTTGGCCAACGCGCTGTTTTAGGGCGTTTCCCTCCTTACTTCGCCAGCGGGTTCGGTTAGAGGCTCCCTAGGGCAGCCTCTGGGGGTGGTGACCAGAGCACGGAGGAATCTCTGGGTTGTTCCCTGGCACGGGCGCGGCGTGATGACAACGACGGCAGGACACGATGGTGCTCACTGGGGCAAGATGTGTGCCGCAGTAGCCTCGCTGTCCGACACACCGAACCGACCCTCTTTCTGGGCTCTCAAGGCCTCAGACCCCAGAGTACCGGCGAAGTAAAGCTGTTAGTGTGGGTGGACAGAGGAAATCAACTCAAAAGCGTTAAGCAAATGAAGCATTAAGCATGCGGGGTATGCCGGTATCCTGGCGTCCCAGCTCTGTGATCTCCAGAGATTACACGAGGCATAATCTCCTGTGAGGGGATTACAGTCCCCAGAGTCAACAGGGCAGGTGGTCAGTAAGAAATTTATAGTCTCTTGAAAGTAGGATTTATAATAGCACATGATCCTATAATTGGAAATATTTTGACATACACGTTTTTACACATTTTTGTTACTGCTCTTCCCAATGTTGAGACTACAGATGCAATAGTTTTAAAGACCTGGGATTTTTTTTTTTTTTTTTTTTTTTTGGTCAACCTTTCAATCTTCCTAGACCCGCCAACCTCAAATCCCCAGTGCATGGTGTTCCTGAGTTAGGTGTTCTTCAGAGTTTTCATTTCTCCTCCTTGTTACCTTGTGTATGGGATTTATCCCCTCTCCAATTACATAGTGGTATGTTTACTACCCTGCCTGTTCTTTGGCCTAGTAATTAATTTGGCCTATTAAATGGAGGGTGAAAAAAGAGACTAGGAGTTTTACAAAAGTAATGATGGGTTATTTGCAGATCTTGGTCCACCAATAGATGAGTGGACAAAAAAGCTGTGGTACATTTACACAATGGAATACCATAATGCAGTCTAAAAAATAATTTAAAAAAAGGAAATCTTACCTTTTGTCACAGTATAGATGGACCTGGAGGCTATTAAGCTAGTTGAAATAAGCCAGTCAGAGGCAGATAAATACCTTATGTTCTCACTTATATGTGGAATCTAATGAACAAAATAAACTGATGAACAGAATAGAAAGGCATGGAGACCTGGAACAGAGTGATAGCTGTCAGAGGGGGAGGAGAACTGGGTGAAGGAAGGTGAAGGGAGTAGCTAAAGAACATACATGCTGAACCCATGGACACGACAATGCAGTGATGGCCAAAGGGAAGGAAGGGGTGAGAGCTGCTTGAAGGTTGGCAAGTGGTGGAGAAATGGGGGTATCTATAATAGTATCAACAATAAAAGGAAAAGAGTAATGATGGGGGAGGGGTGAATATTACATGTATGACTATGGGGTGCTTTGTCTTTTGTTACTTTCCCAAAATTTCAAATGTGGTTATTTTTACAATTAAAAAAATGTGGTTCTACCCTGGCTGGTGTAGCTCAGTGGATTGAGCACGGGCCTGCGAACAAAAGGATCGCGGTTCCATTCCCAGTCAGGGCATGTGCCTGGGTTGCAGGCCAGTTCCCAGCAGGGGACGCACAAGAGGCAATCATACATTGATATTTTTTTCCCTCTCTCCTTCTCTTTCCCTCTAAAGATAAATAAATAAAATTATTTAAAATAAATAAATTAAATAAAAAATGTGGTTCTGGGCTGCTAACTCTGTTGATAAGGCAAAAACTAACAAAAAACAAAACCTTTATATAGTTGCATATTTAAAAACTGAATTATAAATGTCCTGGGAGTAATTGAGCATGCAAATATATGTTTTCTTTCTCACCCTGTGACTTTAGGCCAATTAACACTCTATCATGCTTTCATTTCCTCACCTTCAAATAGCCACAATCTACTCAATAATCTAGAAAATGCAGTTTTTAAAATATGAACCTTTAAAAAAAGTAAGTATTTCACATGTTGAATCCCTTATTTTGATGCTTTGCCAACTGAAACAGCTCTCAAGAGTATACTCAAAGCTCAGTATAAAAATTGTTTCAACTTGATTTAAGAAGTTAGTTTGGCTCTCTTCATTTTATTATGAGATTAAGCAGCTTTAAAAATGGTATGCGATTTTCTAAATGCTATTTCAGATACCTGTATAAGGGAAGAAAGTTTCAGGTACTTTGTTACTAGTTTAAATTTCATACTGGCTTTTGGAACTGTAGTAGAATTAGAGGTAAGAGTAAAAAATGATGAATACAGCACTTTATGACAGCACTCATGACAATTTTAATGTATTTCCTTATTAGAAGCTTTCAAAGTAATATAGAAAATTCCTGATTTGTAATTTATTGGAAGTTTTTGGAGTGAATGTTGATAGTGTAAAGCGGTTTGAACAGTTAGACACTATGTTGATCGTTTGGTCATCTGCAGTTTGTAGGCAGTGGTATCTCTCCACTGAACAATTTCCTTGAATCTCACAAAACATTTTGCCCATATATAATCACTACAAAACTGTGTACCCATTGTTTATATTGATTTAGGTCAGTTTGTCTTGACCATAATGATATTATTATGAAAAATTATACCTATGATTTTATATCCAGAATTACTAATATACTAAAGAGCGTCTAGATTTAATAGACACTTAAAAATACATTATATTAAATATGCATCAATACAATATAAAAAAGTCACAAATTCAACCACCAGAACTGTAACTTTTATTTGCTAATAGATATTTTAATAAACAGGCTTACTCCATCTGTAAGACCCTGATAATGCCTCTTAGGAAATCATAGAAAAATAAAATACAATAACTAGTAATTTGTACTTTGTACAAAAATCTTATTATGTTGCTTAGCATGTAGTTTTGCTAAACACCATATTCTTTCAGCAAATAGATGACATATGTAATGCAATACACCACAATCCCTCACTGAGAGCTGAGCATTCTTTAACACTATCGACTTGTAGGTATGCCAGCACATGAACATTTACATGGAGCAGTATAATATTAGAGTCAATTTTTATAAGATGGGAACAATACCACCTTCAAGTAAGTATTGACTACTTTACTGTAATAGTAAAGTAAATAATAGGTAGGATTGCAGTGTCATTCTTACCACCCCTATACTTTGTTTATCTCTCTACCATAGTGTGATACAACAGAAAAGAGAATACAGGCTGTGTCAGGAACCTGAGTGGAAGGCAGAAATAGAAGCTCTAAATAGTGATGTAATACCAAAGAGAAAAAAATACATTGCTGCACTTCTTTATTCTCACAAACAGATCTTTCCCCTGCCCTTTGCAAGAGTAGACGGGTACAGTGCTAGGTTCATAATTAGTGATAAATAACTTTGACATGTTACAAAGAAGATTTCAAAAATCATTCTTAATTATAGGAAGGAAAAAATGTTTTCAGCTGTAGTTTTTATTCATCAAATATCACTCTATGAGGGCTTAAATGTCAACTTAGATGTTATCTAGGTATTTTGTATAAAGATACTATTTAGTATTAATAAACTTTTTAGGATTTGTACTGTAACAATTTTCTTACAACTATTTTGAATGCACTGCAGCTGTCGACATATACCATTTAATATTTAAAATGGCCATTTAAATATTAAATGTTTAATGAAATACATAATTACATGTGCATGTATATCATATTTTTGGCTATGCTAAATTAGCAAAAAAAGAAAAAAGGAGAGCAATCTTATTCCATTGTTCACAATCTAATTTTACAATAAATTCAAAGAATAAATATGCATCTATAAATTTCAACACATTGAATTACATTCAGTCTATCCAGAAATAAAGCTCCATACACAATGAAAAGATCACACTTCATTCCTACACATAGGGAGGGTACAGTAATAGAACAACCATATTGCCTATTTGTTTTTTCCTAAATGACAGATGGTATTGATGTTTTTCATGTCATGTGAAAATAAACAAAAAATATTGTTTTCATAAACAATTAGAGCCTGATTATCTTTAAAAAAAATCAGATGGGGGCTCAAACTCTCCAAAATAGTATTTTAAGAAACTGACAGCTTGAGTATACAATATAAATTGTTCAGGATTAAGCTAATTTTAATTTTCATAGGCTTTGAACTAGAACAGAATAGCTACAAAACATTTCTGCCTTTTACTCTGAAATAGGCAAAAACAAATAACAAAACATGAGAAGAATCAATGGCATTGAGAAGTCCTCACTTCATCTCGACATATGGAAGACTGTTATCAGAGTCCTTGGAAAACACAGAATTCAGTTTCAGATCTTCCAAACAAGATGTCTCAAGAGTAGTTAGTAAAAATGGCTTTAAAATATTTCATACAATAGGTCTTTTTTTGCTATGATGAATAACATACAAATATTCACTGACTATGCGTATGTAATATACATGTATATATGCCTGTGCATATATATACATACATACACATACAAATATATTCACTTTCTCCATTTCCAAATATATACACCTGTCTCCTCTAATATATACTCTCTTCCTGTCCCAGTATTGACTTTTATCTCCTCTTGGTAAAATAAAACTACTCACATAATAACATCCTTACTTTTCTACCACAAATGTATCAAACTATATACATATTACACACTTTGCTCCCATTACAAGTCTATGCATCTTATATCAAAAACTAACCTCCCTACTTAGGCTATGAATTCTAACCCTTCTCAAGGCTTTTCTATAATTATAGTCTCTCTACCGGATCATTCTTGTTAATATATAAAGATACTAAAGGCTCTTTCTCTAAAAACACGCACATGAAACCAAAACCTTGACTCCATATATCTCTCCAGCTATTGCCCTATTTTTCCTGCTTCATCTATGATAAAACT